TGGGTCTTTTCGCTTTACGTAACGCGCATCTAACTGTGCGGAGTTTGGTTTTGAGGTAGTCCAAAACGAGTTTTACGACAAGTCGGCGCTTTGCGACAATGTGAGTCGGCAAGTTCCGGGCAGAAAACCGATCTGTGGAGACTCGTCGTCGGAGATTTTTTTTTTTTTTTTTTTTTTTTTTTTGAGAACAGGCGAAAACTAATGCGCGCGTGGATGTCATCCATAAAATTAAATCGGTGTAGCCTAATAAATACATAAAAAGTAGGAGGGAATCGTTATTCTTATAAAGAGTGGATCAGTTCTGGACTCATTTATGTTAAAGGGCGGCAGTCGTCGTGTCGCGTCCTGTTCGATATGGGAATCATAGCGACGTATACAACGCGTGTAAAATACATTGTTTATCATTTACATGACATTCTAACACGCGCTGCGCGACGACCACCGCGCTTTAATGAAGTGTTTCAAGATGGTGACATTATACAAGTGGATTCCCTATTAAATAAACTTGCAAATAAAAAAGAATGGATTACACGATACAGTGAATTAAAAAGTGCAATTCCCCTACAATGGTTTGATATTATGAATACAAATAAAAATGCAAGCAACAAAAACAATAAAAAAAACACAAATTAAATAGTAATGATTTTTATTGGCGTTTTGTGAAAATATACGCAGAAAAATCCTTTGCTCATGTGATCTGGGAAAAACATGGGATATTTAGTACAAACTGGTCAAGAACTCGCAATATAAAAGTAAAATAGATGCCAAGCAAGAAAATGTATACTTTAATTACATGTTGTTGTATAACAAGATGCCACATTCCCATAACTTGCGAAAGTGGAAAATCTCTAGTACAGCAATGTGTGTTTACAATTATAAACATTTTATTTTTTGATTGTAACATAGTAAAACATTTTTAATATTCTTTTGCAGAATTGTGCAACCATATTGTAAGAACTAAATATACCATGGAGTTTAGACATATCATTCTCGGATTTGAAAAAAAGATTGGCACGAGTCAGACCTATTTAATTTTATTATATCATTAGCTACTTTTGCAATATACAAGGCACGAATAATTAAACAAAGGAATATTCATAGATATTTTTGGACGAGTTATTAACTATAAAAAACAGAATGAAGTTTTAAAAGAAATTATTAAATGTATATAAAAGAGTAAACATAGACTTTATTTATGCTCCTATTCAATTTGTTAAATACAACTTCAACTTGGTAAACATTGATAAGGCTTGTTTTGAGGAAGGTAAAATTGTCTGACGATTTCTTTCGCAGTACCATTGTTATAGTTTGTATGAGAGCATAGTGGTTTGAATCTCATCTAAAAATGTGTGTGAATGCGAAATTGTATGCTTATTTAGATTTCCAGAACGGTTGTGGCCGTATTCAAACGACGACCTCTATCGGCGAGTTGACGTAGGGGCATTCTCTGGCTGATCATAGATAAACGGGATGTCAATTATAACCGATTAGCCACTAAGGGGCGCGTTCCCAACAAACAAAATGGCTGCCATTTTCAAAACGAAAAAAAAAAATCAACACAAAACAAATACACATAAGACACATACTTTCACGTGAGAATACAGTTTAATTACAAATGTGTGTTCATTATTTTTTATGACATTACAAATATAAAAATGAAGAGAATGCATTTGTTGCGAGCAAGTTTTTCTTCTTCAAAATTTAAGTCTGGCACAGTTGGAGGCGTGGCTTGTTCAAAATTTGTTAACAACCAATCATAAGACTGGTTACGAACCACATCGAGGTTACGACTCGGTTAGCCTTGCTCAACTGGTTCGTAACCAGTTTTGTGATTGGTTCTTCCCCTCAAAGTGTGCGATGCGTTCGAGCCAACCGTTAATGCTTCAGAAATGGAGCCAATTTGTGTAGTTTTCTTGATTTATTTTGCAGATATAAGTAAAATATAGGTAAAGCTGGTATTTTTTATAGATTTTATTTTTCATTCTGTTCGTCTTTTTTTCCAGTTTAAAAAATATGAGCTCGCTGGAGCCTTCATTCCCCGCCTCATAGAGACTGCATACAGTTGATCATAGTTCCTGGGCTTCCTGTGCTAGTAAGATCTAGTAAGATGTCAACAATTGTCAGAAACCTTGTCTTATTAATTTTTTTCATTTGTTTACCTCCCTAGCGGATCTCAAATCAGCCTACCGACTTGATGATCT